GAAACAATGGATTGAAGGGGCGGAGCTTACTTGGAAGTATTTCCAGATACATTTATTGGTTCTAAGATTAGTGCAACAAATCTTCATTGTAATTTGGTAAATACAAAGAAGAAATTCCATTAAGCATTGTCACCATTTGTCAAGTATTGGAAAACCTCTCTTGAAAAGCACATAGATGGTCAAACACACATACTGAATATAACTATATAACACTCATTTACCTGAATGTATATGAATATACATTTCTTCTTAATTTTTTCCCTGAAATAAGACATGTGCTCCTTATCCCTTAGCACTTGTTACAAATGCAGAATAGCTTATATACTTTGGTCTGTGGAATGATGCTCTGCGTTTTATCAAGGTAACACTTGTCCTGCAATGTTTTGAAATTCATGATTTAGAAGAACTTACCTTGGTAAATGGTATATCTCTTATGAAAAGTTGTTGGCAACACACCAACATTTTTGTGTAAATGATAAAAACTAATTTTTCTTCTTGGATGTTGAAGTTTAAGTTCATAATTATTTACTATTTGCATGATCCAATATCTTGAAAGTCTAATGGTATGATTGGTTCTTATTAACTTGATGAACTATTAAAAAAATAGTGATTTCAGAAGTGTGTTTCTGTTCTGGAGATACATGGACATAAATGTCTTGACCTCAAGATAGTGTTCATGACCTTAAATGTTCAATTCCTCTTTGGTGTCTGTTCCAGATCAAACAAATCCACACAATGGAGACAAGTCCAGTGACCCACAACAGAACTCTCCTGTTGAGTCCTGCCTGCATTGGGCAAATCATTGTAATGGTGAATTTCTCTATGACCTAAGATACATGTTTTGTTTTAGGATCCCCTTGGTTTGGAATTTTTTACACACTATCGTTGTTGAAACACTGACTGATTTCATGTCAAATATGCACACAGAGAGATGAACTTTTATCAAAACTGACTATATAACTAAACTATTTAGAAAAATTATAAAGAGAACACAGGGACATTATGAACAAGTGAATCAATGAAGTAGAGTGAGATCTTCCAAGGAACCTTCTATCAGGAGCAGTTAATTTGCAAGAGATCCACCAACATCAATAAATACCAGAGGAATTAAAAAAGGACTTAGATATAACATGTGAAAGTACTGATGATAAGAAGTTTACAACAATGTACACACTAACAGCAAATTGTATGTTTGTTCATAGAAACTTGTATAAAGAACTCAGTTGCCTGAAGCCCCCAACTCTGTCCTCTGCTCTCTCAGAGATGGATAGGACTCTGTCTTTCTACATCTTTGAATCCTAAATAAGGCCCTCATTCACTATATGGGTAGGGATCTAGAGATGGAAGGGGTTCTGGGAAATGTACTTACTGCAGAGACTGTGTAATGAAGTTCAGAGTTGACTACCCAGTGTGGTCCTATGGCCCAACTCTCAGGATTTGATCAGGAAATCATTGCCCAAGAACATTTCCATATTGCATCTATACGTCATCAGAAGGTTGCAATAAAAGCAACACATCAATGGAAATAAAGTTTTTATGATATATATATGAGTCTCTTTACAAACTAAATTCTCACTTAACAAAATAAAAACAAAATTCAACTAAATATGAAAATAATATTTTCTTTCTTATTCAGAGTTTTCCAGAATTCAACAATATCATCAACAACACTGAAAACATGTTGCAAATACAAAATTATAAAGCACTTGAGATCTAATAAATGTAGATCTAATAAATGTAGACCCAGAAACACAACAAATCAAAGAAAGGTTGGACAAATGGGATTGCATGAAACTGCAAATAATCTGCATGGAAAAGGACATAGCTTGTAAGATCAATAGAAAGCCTACAGAACGGGAGAAGATATTTACTAGCTGTTCAACAGTCAAGGGCCTCATATCTAAAATATACTTAGAACTCAACTATTATATCCCCCTAAAACAAATCCTCAAAGAAACAACTGCCCAATAAATAAGTGGGCTAAAGACTTAAAGAGAGATTTCTCTGAAGATGAAATAAGAATTTATTTTCCTATGTCTTATCTGCTGTTGTCACTGTATTCTATTTTGGCAGCCTGGATATTGTATATATGTTAATCTGAACTAGGGAAGGGAAGGGGAACAACAAAATGGTGAGACAAGGGACAAAGGGTGAACCAATGCAACAGTGATACTCACAAGACACTATGTTGGAAAAGAACTGTACAACTTGGGGGTGAAGAGGAGAGGGAAAGTGGGAGAAAAATGAGGGATAGGGTAACAAGTTCAAGAAGAATGTACTCACTACCTTATATATGTAACAGCCACCCCTCTATACATCGCCTTGACAACAAAATTAAATAAAAAAAGAATGGTCAATAGAAACGTGAAAAAATGCTCAACGACTCTGACCCTAAAAGAAATGCAAATCAAAACAACATTCAGACTCCACCTCACCCCAGTTAGAATGGCTATAATGAAGAAATCTAATAACAACAGATGCTGGAGGGGATGTGGCCAAAAGGAAACCATACTGCACTGTTTGTGGGAGTATAAATTTGTTCAACCACTCTGGTAAGCAGTACAGAGGTTTTCCCAGAAGACTCCACATGTGACCCAACAATCCCACTTTTGGCCATTTATCCAAACCATCACAAACAAGGCCATGCTAAAGCTACCCACACAACTATATTTATTGCAGCATTATTCACCATAGCTAATATATGGAACCAACTGAGATGCCCCTCAGTAGATGAATGGATCAAGAAAATGTGATATATATATATATATATATATATATATATATGTACACACACACACCCACACACACACACACACACACACACATATGAATTCTATGCTTCCATCAGAATGACACTGTCCCATTTGTTAGGAAATGGAAAGACTTGGAAAAAATCATATTAACTTAAGTAATCCAGACCCAAAGAAATATAGGTCCCATGGTTCCCTTCATTTGCAATAATTACTATACATCTAGGATAATTTCACCAGGTGAGCAGAAAAGGTCAAAATCTATGTACATAAGACCATATAAGATGACGCTAAGAAAAATGAACCCCAAGATATGGACACAAGTGGGCTTTCTTTGTTGTTTTTAATGCACTATGTGATTGTTTTGTTTGTTTTGTATGTTCTTCGCCTTACAGTATATCCCTTCATGTCACTGTATGTGATTCTGGTACCCTGCATCATGTATATACATTTTTCTAATTTTGGGAAGGAAAGGGGAAAAACAAAATGCTGAGACAAGGACACAGGATGACCCATTGCAACAATGATACCCACAAGACAGTATATTGGAAATGCACTTTACAACTTTGGGTGGGGGAAGGACTGTGGGAGGAGGGGATGGGAAGGGATAGTGGAAGAACAAGAGGGGGGTAACAATGTTCCACAAGAAATGTACTCATTGTCTTACTCATGTAACTGCGATCCCTCTGTACAGCATCTTTACAATAAAATTTTAAAGTTAGACAAAATTATCATCTAATTTCTTTGGCTGAAGAGTAGTAATATTGTCACTAATTATCCCTCATGAATCTAACCATATGATCAACAGCTCTTCTGGATGCTATGAAACTTCTTGTGACACTGCAGTTTACCCAATCATATCAAATATTCTCCCCCACATTTGTTCATACACTCTTCAGACTGTAATAATGTTGATAAGATGAGCCATCTTTGCATTCCATACAGTAGTGACTTCCTGAGCCCTGGCAACTGCACAGGCAAATGTCCTCTTGTGTCACTCCATCTCAGCACCTACATTGGAGTCAACAATGCTATTTCTCCCTTGCGTAGATAACCAGTTCTTCTCACTCTTACTTCTACTGTTGCTTCCTTCCAAGATGGATGACATTTCTCTGTGCTCAAAGAATAGATTCTATCCAAGAATCTATCCAAGAATCTATTCAAAGATTCCAGCATGATCTTCCTTTTTAGAGTTCTACTCAATCTTCCTGGGCCCAATACCTTTAATGAAGGTGTTGAGCACATTGTTCTCTTAGTAACTAGAAGAGACCAGAATGGAGGAGACACATGCAGGTTTAGGTGATACAATAAGTTTCAGATAAACTGAGTTCATACTCCTTTTCAAGGAGAATTTACTTCTGAACATAATACCTAAGGGTGAAGAAGTTTAAAATCCAGAAGGAATAGTAAGAGGACCTCAAGCATGGACATTTGAAATAATACCCAAGGCTAGGTTGTTTTAAAAAAAGGTTGCAGGCATGAAGGAAGAAAATTTCTGAGAGGACTTGCTTTTATGGATCATCTGGGACAAGAAATTCAGTGGTAGAGGAGAATATAAGACTGAGCAATCCAGGCATTTTCATATCAATGAGTTCCACTTTCTTATTTCATTCCCATGGATTTCATTACAGGACAGCAGTGCTAATATGTTGCCACATAAAGATTATCAATAATTCATAGCAATTCCAAAACTTTCTATTCTGCACAATAAAGACTGCCAAATTGGTGTGAAGCAAATTTTGTCTATAAATTTCTAGAACTAAGTTTCCAGTGGACAAGTCTTCTCTGACACAAAGAAATTAAACAGAAAGAAGCTTTGATCCTCCAAGGGATCATTGGTATGATCAAACCACAGGAACAATTTGGTGATCCCCTTCTGTGGCTACAACTTATCCTTTTACATGAATTGTGTCCCCTGAAATTCAGAATGTATGCAGTTGCTGAGATGAGGCAACTGGACAGCTGTGTTTAGCCCTGCCCAAATGCTGTACCAGCCCACTACCCACAATAATCAGGCTTCTTCACAGGCTGCTCACACTGTGCAGCATTCAGTCCCAGTCAGCACACATCATGGACATGAGGACCCCTGCTCAGCTCCTGGGGCTTCTGCTGCTCTGGCTCCCAGGTAAGGAAGGACAATTCTAAGGATTAACATAGCTCCATGTGACCCACGGTGCTTTACTTTTCAGGGAAGGCTTGCTATAACTTGATTAATAGTGTGTATATTTATTTCCATGTTTCTGCTGCCAGGTGCCCCGTGTGACCTCCAGATGACTCAGTCTCCCTCATCATTGTCTGTGTCTCTAGGAGACACTGCCACCATCACTTGCAGGTCCAGCGAGGACATTGGGTATGCTTTAGCCTGGCACCAGCAGCAACCAGGGAAAGCTCCAAAATCTCTGATATATAGTGCAGATAGTTTAGAATCTGGAGTTCCACCAAGGTTCAGTGGCAGTGGGCATGGGACAGAGTTCACTCTCACCATCAGCAGCCTGCAGCCTGAAGATGTTGCCACTTATTACTGTCAAAAAGCTTTCAGTACTCCTTCAACAGTGATACAAGTCATAACAAAAACCTCCCAGAGAAGCAAAGTGTGAGGCTAGGCTACCCAGCTGATCCTTCTACTCCCTCCACCTGGTCAGAAGGTTCTCAGACACAGTTAGTTTACACTTGAAGAATATGAATTGTGGCATCAGTTAGTATTTATGGAAGAATAAAATAATTAGCTGGATATTTTAAGCAGGAATTTTCTTTAATACAAAGAACAGATTTATTGCTTCAGATTTTATTCATTCATTTTCTGATATATTATTTCATTAACATACATATGTACTTATTAATGGTATTCTAGGATTCTCCATATATATCATTTATATGCATTGATCTTCCACCTTTCTTTTGTGTTTAATCTCCTGACATCTGCCCCTGTGCCCTTTCCAGCCCCACAGAATCACGCTACTATTTTATTTTTTTCAGTTTGCTTGAGTAAGATACAGTATACATATGGTATTTGTTTTGACTATTTTTTAATAAGATGTGCTCTAGTTCCATACGTTTTGAGGCAGATTGCAGGATTTCCTGATTCCTTATGCATGTCATATATATATATATATATATATATATATATATATATATATATATATATGGACCACTTTGTCTTTACTTTCTCATCTCTTGTAGGGTACTTCACTGAATTGAATTTTTCACTAGTATGAACAGTTTCACATTAAATAAAGGCATGCAGAAATACCTTTCTAAACATCACTTTTTATAATGGCTTTTTTTCTTTTGCATAAACACCTAGGAGCTAGGTGGCCAAATCATCTGGTAAGTCTATTTTTATATTTTTAATAACCTCTTACAGTCATCCATACTGGAAATGATACTTATGTCCCTACCAACTGAGCTAGCCTAGTGTTGATAATTTACTTTAAGGGAGATGGGAATGATGTGTCTTCTCCCTTTCTCTTACTCTATTGGATTATGCATTTGTCTGTTCTGTTCTAACTGGTCCATAACCAGTCCATAGGAATAAACTATGAGTGCGCCAAAGTCCTGTAGTTAAAGCTTTACATTTCAGGTATTAAAGATAGACCTAGGAAAACCTAGAAGATGGACATTTATTAAGGAAAATCACCCCAAAGCAAATATGGGTCCCATGACAATTTTCAATAGTCAGGTTAAACTCATTAGTACATCAGTAGTAATCTCAAGCATATTACTTTCTTTAAAAGTCTTTAAATAAAATACAGTTTTGGGGTCCACCATTATAAATAAGGCCCTATATTACATTTGAGACTTCTGGAAAAGAAGACTAAGTGGTTTTTGGTTTCCACAGCATTTGAATTGAGATGAACAACTTTTGTTGGTAAAGAAAATGTTTGACATTTATTCTGCAGGCATTCCTTTCTCCTGCTGTTTTCCAAAATATGAGTTTATATGTGGCCAAGTGTGCATTGCATTTTCATCCAAGATTAAAAGTGTGGACTGGGGTAGAAATAACACTTGCAGCCAGACATAAACAGATGGATCCTGAAGAGATAAACATGGAGATATAGTCTACACAGAGAAAGGCTGGAGTCACAGACATCAGGGGCCCTTCCACAGGCTGATTAACCTTGGTCTCATTGGACCTGGTTCTAGAACTTTTGCAGGAATCTACCCCTTAAGATTTCCCAACAGTGTTAATTATTTGACATTCCAGAATGTGCACTTTTCTGCTTGCTATTCATATTTATAAGCAGCAGCAAGAGTACCATTCAACGCAGGAGCAAAGGAAGCCAGTTTACTCCAAGAGTGTCATCTAAATCTCCTTTATGTTGGGAATCACCATATTATTTCAATGGACCTGCCAGAAGAAGCCAATATTCATGGCCCTACTTGGTCAGCCCTGTGACTTTATTTAAAAAACCATGGCATGAGGTCATCATTCATATTTTAATACGTCTTTTATCCACTTCTGTCACATTCAATATCACTACAAATGCCAAATAGCTGATCCATCTTAGTCCAAGGTATGATGCTCTGCATTTTTATTATTAGTAGATGTCTAGAGAATGTCCTAGATTCCATATTTTAGTAAACTTTTACCCCAGAAAATGCAATATTTTAAGAAAAGATGTTTGATATGAAAAGCAGAATAGCTAATATCTATGTACATATGACCATATAAGATGATGTTAAGCAAAATAAACTCCAAGATATGGAAACAAGAGGTTTTCCTTTGTTGTTGTTTTTAATGTACTATGTGATTTCTTTTTTCTTTTTTTTTTAAATTTTATTTTATTTGAGAACATACTGTACAGAGGGGTTACAATTACATGGGCAGGATAATGCATACATTTCTTACCAAGCATTGCAGCCTCCTCCTTTGTTTACCCTTCACCTTCCTTCCCAGCCTCTTCCCTCCCCCCACCCAATCATACCCCCCCTCCCCCACACACTCCGACATTGTAAAGCTGGTTTTGACATGACATTTTGTACTTCTCATTGTTGCAACAGGTCCACCTGAATCCTTAAACGACTTGTTTGTCCCCATCTCCTCCACATGTTATACTGACATCAAATATAGTTATTTCTTTTTTCTTTTGTTTTTTTTTCTTATGGTTTATCCCCTGGTGTCACTGTATTTGCTTTTGGTACCCTAGATATTGTATGTAGGTATATCTGAATTAGAGAAGGGAAGGGGAAACAACAAAATGGTGAGACAAAGGACAAAGGGAGAACCAGTAAAATAGTGATACAAGACAATATACTGGAAATGAACTGTAAAACTTGGGGAGGGGATTGGTAGGGAGAAAAATTTGGAGAAAAATAAGAAGTGGATAACATATGTAATTGTAATCCCTCTGTACATCACTTTGACAATAAAATTAAATTTAAAAAGAAAAAGGGGAAAAAAAGAAAAGATGTTGGCAACATACTAAGTTTTTAGCTAATTAACACAAACTAATTTTTGTTCTTGGATGCTGAAGTTCAAATTCATAATTATTTCTAAATAGCATTATCCAATTCCTTGAAAGCATAATAGAATAAAAGTTTATTATTATTATTATATTATTTTACCATTATTTATTATTAGATTTATTATTATAATGATAAACTATTAAGACAAAATAATTGAGTCCTTTCTGTTCTTGGAATATTTGAATAGAAACTTGTTGCCATAGCTTGATTACATGATAGTGTATATGATCTTAAATGGTCATTTCCTTTTTTTGTCTCTGTTCCAGATCTAACAAATCCACATGCTGGAGACTAGACCAGTGACCGGCAACAAAAGCAAGAAGCTGTGTCCTTCCTGGATTGGGCAAATCATTGCAACTGTGAACTTCTCTAAGCACTAACATAAATTATATGATGTTTGGAAGAATTTGATACATACAATTGTTTTGAAATTCTGACTATCAATGCAAGATATGTATAAATACAGATGCATATTTATGAAAACTGATTGCATAACTACAAATAACTGAAATAATTATGAAGAGAAAGAATGCAGAGACAAATATAAAATTATGTAAATAAATAGAATACAATTACTTCTATCAAGGAAACTTAGAATAGGAACAGATAATTTGCATGTGATCCATTCACATCAATAAATATCAGAGGAACAACAAAGGGAATTACATATAGCATGTGAAATTACTGATGGCAAGAAGCTCACATTAATATTCACATTAGAAGATAAAAAGTATATTTATACATATAGATTTGGATGAAGTTCTCAATTGCCTGCAGCCTTGCATCTGTCCACCTGTCTCTGGGAATGCACATCTTTGAGTTTGGACTCCTCTAGGAGGCCTTCATTCATCATATTCACAGGAACCCAGAAAGGGAAAGGGGTGCTTAGAAATGCACTTCCTGACGATACTGTGTAATAGAAGTTCAGAGCTGACCACACTTTGAGTGTATATGGCCCAACTCTCAGGAAGCATTGCCCAAGAACATTTCCACATTGATTCCAAATGTCATCAGTAAGTTGCAATCAAATTAAGAAGTTTCATTAAATCACTGGCCAATGAAAAAATAAACTTTTTGCATAAAATGTGTAAGAAACTCTTCACAAACAAAATTCTTTCTGACAAATAAAAAGCAAACTCAACTAAACATGGATGCAGCATTATTTTTTTCTTATTCACTTTATCCAGAATTCTACAGCATCATCAACACTGAGAGCATGTTGCAAATGTAAAATTATAAATCACCTCAGATCCAGTGAAGGTGAGTCTTTATTTCAGCAAGTTATCAGGTGATCTTTGTTAGGTTTAAGAAACTTTGCCAGAAATTGGTGGCTTACAACTCAGCTACTTAGGAAACAACAGCGATCTAAGGATTATGGTTCAAATCTAGCATCTACCAAAAAGCTGGAATTATGCACATGAAAATCTATGCCACATGTTAAAAGGCACTGGTGCTGCTAAAGACAACCCAAGGCAGTGTGAGAGGATTCTGGGATGAAAAGAAAAAAAAAAGTAGGAAAAACAGAGACATAAACAGATAGAGAGATAAGGGGGAAAACCAATGGTCCCAAGGCCCACCTGTACTTGAACCCCAAATGCCCACTGAAAGCATATTAGTTGAATTCACACAAAGAGTGTTACCATGGAAACATGCAAAAGTTAAGCATCTATATTAATATTACAATTAATAATTACAAAACAGCATTTGTAAGAGACACTGATTCCCTTATTCTTTTGAAACATGAGACTGAAGCCTAAGGGAAAGTCCAGACATGAAGTCTACTTATCTAGCCCAAGGTTAAGCTATCAAGGTCTTTAGTCCAACCTACAAGGTCCCCAGCATAGCTGCCAGCCTAAGGAAAAGGGAGTAGGCAGACTTCCAGTCTCAACCCTCTTCAGAATTGTCTGTTTTATCCCTTCCATGGCCAGCTCTAAGAGATCTCAGTCCTGTGGAGACAGCATTCCAACATTTCAAACCTTTTCCAGGTTTCACAGCTCCAAGTCCCCTACACACTGATATTCTCACTGATATTTTCCTTGCTGTTGTTTCTCTGGTACTGAGATTTGAACTCAAAACTGCACAAGTGCTCTTCCATTTCAGCTAAACATCCAGATCTTTTCACTTTAGGGGT